AAATAAATAATTTTGTATTTGTAATTTTTAATGTAGGAAATAACAGCTCATTATAACTTTAATTATTAAGTAGTAAATATAGGGTGTAAGTAGAGGGAAATTTTTAAAAGAGTAGGAAATGAAAGATTTTTAAAATTTTTTTTTTTTATGCTATAACAATGAAATATTTTAAGAAATCCTAAAATATTAATCATAGAAAAAGTATAATGAATGGTTAATACAATTTAAAAACTAATAAAGGCTTCAGTCCGAAAGGTTTTTTATATATATATAACAATAATTAATTAGGAAAAAAATAATGAAAATGGTGTTCAAGCGATTCTTGAAATCCTATTAAAAATTTGATTATACGAACATTAATACTTTTAGAGATAATTATTTCAATATTTTTTCATGAGACATGGTTATATTTATCAGCTGTATATGCATTTTAATTTAAATAATGGAACATATTGTTTCAGTATTTATCCTAGATCACTCTCAGTAACAAAATATGGACAAACAAAAAAACATTTTACATTTTGAGGCGCTTTATCCCAAAAAGCCCTTACCCTCCGTTGATCCGTCAGTGAAACAACAGTAATATTTTATAAATTTTTACAAAACAACGTTGATAACTGAAATTGTTAACTTGTAGATACTGGCATATTTCATAAGAAATAAAATCCGTTAATATCAATAAGTGACAATAAAATTCAACGTCACCTGATTGTTTGATTTATTAATTTATTCGATCCGGTTTTAATTAAAATCGTACCAATTATATACAAAATGCTCAGTGTTCAAATTATTTTTCAACTTTATGACAGATATATTAGTCTTATTTACAACTGATTATCTGTATATTTATTAAGGTAACAACAATAAAGCAATACATTAAAAAAATGTTTTTTAGACTAATGCTTTTTTTTTCAGAATAATAAATTTTAAAGTATAATAATTTTAATGTCAAAATAATAGCATTACAATATAAATAATTCAGGATATAATAAATAATTATGAATTCTTGGTCTCAATAATGTAGCCAGGGACCGATGAAATCTGTTCGGATGAAAGATCAAAGGTATTTCCGAAAGGATTGTTTAACAGACAGATTACAGTATTACTGATATCTTGATAAGGCCTCTTATTCCATTTTATTTATACCGTCTCAAATGATATTTTTGACGGCTATAATTATTTGTGATTTTGTTTTTTTAATTTTTGCGATATTATTATTTTTTTTTTATATATTATTGTTACTATTATTTCAATAAATTCATGGAATTATCGAGTTTGAAATTAACACTTTGCAACCATTATCGAATTCTTTGATTGTCACTACTATTTTTGACAGGTGTAAATAAAAAATTATAAATTATAAAAAGAATATATATTAAAGAAAATTGTTTGGATAATTATGTAATTATAATTATAATTGTAACCTTCCTAAAGTTAAAAGAAAATTAAATAACGTAAAATCTAAGAGGAGAATGGTTACTCTAAGAAGTTATCTACTATATACTAGACAACAATTTTAAATAGATTATCTCGTTTCTTTGTGGATTCATTGTGAGGAAATTCAGTTCACATGGGCAAATGAAATTTGCGTGGTCCAAGACCTTGCTAGATAAATTATGACGTTAAACATTAGCTTCCTGACGTATTTTAAAATTATGGCGTATAAGAAGAGCATTGGTGAGGTTAAAAAACTTCAAATTAAAACGGTTTGACTACACTTTTAAAACATTTTTGAAAATAGAGTCTTAAGTGCATAATTCCATCGCACAAATTGTGGCGGATATCAAATGTTTAAAATTAATTTTGAACTTTATACTTTGTCTAGAAAAGGTTATTAGACAGCCAATAGCTTATATTGACTGTTGTAAACTATATAGGGTAAAAATACCAGTACCTGACATCCTCTTTGAAAAATATAAATGCTAACATTTCAGAATTTCCTAGACTTCTCTCCTAGAGATTTTTGGTTTTTATATTTTCTCCTTGTATATTTGTCAGCATTGCTTTAGTCTTGCCGGAAACAATAACTGAAATAATTGGTGACAAATTAGGAAGGTCCCTCACGGCCCACTTAAGTGTTCCAAAAACAACCTTCTATTAGTAAGGACAACATATTTTAGCTTTGTCTTTTTCTCTTTCGATTTATCTCAATTTTTTTTGTTTCCTTTATTCTTAGAGTATTTTTAGATAATGTTTTATCTTTTTTCATTTTTTTTTTTTTTTTGTATAAGCGATTGGAACTTTGATGAGTTGTCAGCTACTGGAGCCTTCTATTAGAAGTTTAGCTAGTAGTTGAGAGGTCTTTACTAGGATATGTATAGAGATATATTAGGTATAACAGTTCTTAAGAATGGGAACATTCACTATCCTTAAAAATAAAACAAATGTTAGTGATGTGGATTAAATACGAAGCAAAAATAGATTTTCCTATTGCCAAAAACAGGTTCTTGACACTACCCAGCACTCATTGATAAATTTAAGTGAAGAAACGCAATAAGTTAGTTTTATGATAAATTTTTGAATACTTAATAGTTGACCGTTATGTTTTTACAGTAGGAGATGGTCCGGTGTGGCGGTCATAAATAGACTAAATAGTGGCAAAACTATTTTATTAAAAGCCAACGTTTCGACTGGACTTTGCAGGTCTTCTTTGCTTAGAACTGTTAAGTGAAACTCCTTGCTGAACACACCTCACTGAAGAAGAACTGCAAAGTCGGGTCGAAAAGTTGGTTTTTAATAAAATAGTTTTGCCACTATTTAGTCTATTTATAACAGGCACCCCGGCCCATCTCCTTCCGTGATAATACATTTTTGTTAATTTCTATTTTAAAATGATGAATATAAAATTCCAACACTTTATTTTGCATAAATATTTCCTTGTTCGCATACCTACCAACTATAAGAAGATTCCAAATCAAACAGTGTCAGCTACGGTTACAACCACTAGCGGATCCAGGATTTAATTTTTGGGGGGGAGGCTTCAGCCCGAAAGCTTCTTTTTTTCATAAAAATGACGATAATTACTTTGGAAAAAAAGAAAGAAACTATCTATATTAAATGGTGTTTAAGTGATTCCTTAAGTCCTTTTAAAAGTAATTACACGAATAATATTACTTTAAGAGATAATTTTTTAATATATTTTTCCATAAAACATGGTTATATTTTACCATTTTGGGGGAGGCTTCAGCCCGAAAGCCCCCACTCCCCGTAGATCCGCCCGTGGTTACAACGAAACTATTCTATAAATTTACATTTTTTTTTTAATTTAGGAGGATGTTTCATGGATTTTAAATGTGTCTTTACAAGGTGAGAAGTATTTTTATAAGATGAATCCAAGAAAAATACAATATAATTAATATTTAAATTTTGATCCCTAAATCTATAAAGAAATTCTCTAATGTTATATGTGATATGCGATGTTAATAATGGATATTTGGTGTAACTTGTATCTAAGAAATGAACAAATAGACATCGGTCTGTTTCTTTTTCAATATTGTCAGAATAAGATAAAGCCTTCAAAGCAACTTAAACGATTCAAGTGATAGTTTCGAAATATTTTTTTCTACTATTTATTTAGTTTTGGTCGGTGGTGAAAGAGGATAATAGAGCTGAAAGAGAGATAGGGCGACACCAAGCATTTAGCGAGGTCGGAAACTCCTTGACACAGATCCCACGGTTTCGACAGATTTTCCTCAACCTCAACCGCTTCAGAACAAAAGTGGAAATTAAATATATTTTTTCATTTTGATCGTATAATAAAAGGCCTCTACGCAATCCCCGACTCTGACTGATTTAATTCAGTATTTATTTTTATCTGGTAAAAATTAGTCTAAAGGCATTTTCAAAGTCATCTACTATGCTGAAAATCAAAAGGGTTGAAGGAGATTTTCTTACAAATTGGCCTGAAAGAAATTCCAGTAAACAAATTTTCTAAAAATAGCCATTCTTTTCTCTCAACCAGGAGGAAATGCACTTGCCAAGTAGTCCACAATTTCTTATAATCTTATCTGTTAATATTATTTTTTTTAAACAAAAATTATATATCTAACATAAAAAATAAAAAAATAGTAAATTACAATATTGAATACTTAATAGTTAACCGTTGTATTATTATGGAAGGAGATGGTCCGGGGTGGCGGTCATGAATAGCCTAAATAGTGGCAAAACTATTTTATTAAAAGCCAACGTTTCGATCCGACTTTGCAGGTCTTCTTCAGGTCTAGAACGGACAAGATACAAAAAGATATATGGAATTGTGGAAGTTACATCATATTTAGGTAACTAATTATAACTTTATTAAAATTATAAAAAAAGTACATTAAAATATTATACAACTTATTGTTCTTAATATTTTAATGTACTTACTTTGTATAATTTTAATAAGTTTATTCACATAGTTTATAATTTTTTATCTAAATATGATGTAACTTCCACAATTCTCTATATCTTTTTGTATCTTGTCCGTTCTATCCCTGAAGAAGACCTGCAAAGTCGGACCAAAACGTTGGCTTTTAATAAAATAGTTTTCCACTATTTTTAGTCTATTTATGACCGCCACCCCGGACCATCTGCTTCCTTAGTAAATTACAAAAAAATAAATATTAAATGAGATTAATTCTTGTGAACTATTTATTTCATTGAATAGTTATTTTGATAATGCGCAGAGGTTTCTTTGAGCACTTTTTTTCCCCTAATCTTTCTGTACGAATAAATTTATTATTGAAAAATATATACGGTAGGCATTTAAGGTACAAATAAATATATAAATATATTTTTAGAATCTTTTCCATAATAACCTATATTATAAAATTATATGTAGTTCCAAATCAGCCTGTTTTTATATAGTCTTAGTTGCAGAAACATGTTTGTCATACACAAATTGGCTTCGTTTATATATATATACATATATAATTATTATTATTATTTATTATTACAGTAATATATATTACTGTAAAATATTTTTATTAATTTTTTTATTAAGTATTAAATTATTGTTACAGGCAGTAGACTGGTGGAGTGTCGGTGTCCTCACGTACGAATTACTAACTGGTGCATCACCTTTCACCGTCGAAGGAGAGAGGAACACTCAGCAGGAAATTTCTAGGTAAATTGATTTCATTATTTTTTTTTACATCAGCATTTCTTTTATACTATGGATAAAGTAAAATGCTCACGGGTTAATATTGGACGAACATTGAAATTAAACATCAACTACGCTCCTCTCCGTGGAGTTTCATGGACCGGAAGCAAGACAATGAGAGATGTTGGCCCCTTTGACGATTTAAAAGACCCAAGTCATGTATTGAGCCCCGCCGGCACAATAATGTATAAATTAAAAAAATATATATAGCTAAGAGACAACATTTAAAAGTTCATTGTCTAGTTACGGATGATTCGGGAAAGTTCGTGGATATTTTAACATTTATTACGAATGGAAAAGAGACTCTAATAATAGACTCCAAAATGAAATTTGTTTCGGACAATGAGGCTCATGATATCAAGATACTGGTAGAGAAATAGGTCGTATATTAAAAATGCATTCCATACTATGACATGAAACGCTGAGAAAGGAATTTGGAAAGAGGGAATTTTTATTTCGGAACCTGGAACCTTTGGTTCAGATATCGGGAGAGGAACCATTCCTCTTTCAACAAATATTTTTTGGAAAAGCTGGTTGTTAAAACGAACCAGCTAAAGAATATGGCGAAAACAATTGTTTTAGACTCGCTAGGAATCCTTTTTCGCTCAATGTTTAACCTATATTAATTCTAGCCTTTGTTTTGTAAATTCAGAAAAGGAAAAGAAAATAAGAAATGTTAAAATTCGGTATTTATGATGATGATTTCGTCTAACTTTCTCCTTTTTTTTTCTGAAATATTATCCAACGGATGAGAAAATAACGACACAAAAAATATTTTGTTTGTTTCATACTTGATAATATTTAATTGTAAAAACATAAAAAAAAAATGTATTCTTTTTTTTATTTCGTGCTTTAAAAATATGCGTATAATTTGTTTTATTAAAAAAAAAAATACAAAAATCTCCTTTAAGTATAAATTCATGTAAATATTTGTACACTTAAAGTTTCAGTGCTTCTTAAAAAAAATATATATATATATTTTTTTTTTGGTTGGTATCATCTAGGTATCCGATTGAGCACTCTAAGTGCAATAAAGACAGTACAAAAGTCTAAAAACATGTTTTTCTCTGGACTGTGGTGCCAAAACGGACTTGACAATTTTGATTAGACTTGGTCAAGTCTTTCCCTAAAACCCATTTAATTTTTGGCTGAAAAATGTAATTCGTATTGGAAAATTACACCCAAAGTAGTGTTAATGAACACCAGATATTTATAAATTGATTTTGTTCGGATGATTGTTATTATAAAAATTAAGAGCTTCCTATGTTTGATCGACTTTTTATTAACCAAAGTTAGTAATTATTTTTATTTTTAGCACTTTATGTTATGTTATAAAACTTGGATTAGTTTTTATTAATTGTGTTTGAAAGGACTTGAAAGAAACAAAGCAATCGTTGAACGAGCGGGAAAAAAATCTTAAATGCTACCTATTCAGAGCATTTTAAGAAACACCTTTCTCTTGAGTTCCCCTTCACTTCCTACCTCTTAGAAGTTATTTATACGTCTCAATATTAATCAGCAATCGTCCTTTTATTTATTTTTTTGATTCGATATCTCAAAATTTAAACGAGCGGATACAATTTAAAAATTTCTGTTAATTTGTGAAAAATGTGCGACCGGATAGAAATTCCTAGCAGTTATCAGTATCGGATTGCAAAAATTTTCTCACGGTTACTTAGTTCGAATATAAATTATGTTTTTTTATATTAGTTTTTGCACCTTCATTGTAGATAAATGAAAGCGATAACTCAATTGTTTCACACGCTTTCTACTTGTGAGCCTCAACGAATCAAGGTCTGCCAACATAACTAATAATTATTATTTCATAATTTATAATTGTTAAATACTTCCTAGGCGTCGTCGGAAAATTTATTATTTACCGAAGAATTAGCATACTTGCATTATTTCAACTTGTTTTCAAATTATCGGTAAGCTACTGGCGATACCTATAATTTATTTTCTAATTGTTAAGAGGAATACTCCATAACTACTAATTTCGTACTTACATCGTAAATTCGTAAAATAGTGATTACATTTTAAACCGTAGATAACTTTAAACATCATTAATAATTATTCTCTTTACGTAACAGAAAACTGTTAGATATTGAAAAAAATGCTAAAAGCTGTCAGACCGTCGTAAAATTAGTCTCTTCGTAATAAATTTTCAAAAACTTGGCAGATTTTAAAAATCTTTTATTTACTATACCGCTTTTTACGGATTAAGTGAACCCCTTCGAGATTAAAAAGACTTGCGGATAATTGCTTACGAGAATTCATTATTGAAAAAAATCGAAGGTTATTTTTGATCCATGAGAGCTATTTCTGCGAGTCGCTGTTACTGGAATCTGTAATTTGTAACAGGTGATTATAACAGACGTTTATTAAAGCGGCCATTGGAGATCGCTGTATTCCAACCATTCCAAACAAAATGGAACGTGGAACGACCGCGATATGAAATCTTATGTTGTTTTTTTCTTAACACTCTATCCCCTCCATTCGATCGTTCCATTTGTAGTAATCCTTAGTGACTACCTTCAGAGAATTAATAATAAGGTTATTAATGTACTGAAGAAAATACTCTCAAGGATTAACGATTTAAAACTTTTGAAAATCTTTTCTTAGGATTCTGTAAGCATTGTCAATATTATTACTTAATTTTTTCTTATAACGCAGAGAAATATTATCTAGGATACTATATTTTGTTATTTGACATCATTTATAAGTAGCATATTGTCTAATATGAATTAATTAGTGCTAAAATTATAAATCATTTCACAATTTTCGTTACATTTTCATAACGTTGGTTTTGTGTTTCCCTCTTCCTCCGATCAAAACGATTTTATAACTCCCTTTATATCTTAAAGCCAAATTGAGATGGAACAGAGCTAGTTTTAGCCAATTAGTAATAGGATTTAATTGGAAGGAGCAGGGTATAGGAGTTTTGATGTACATTCCTGGAACAGCCACCATAATACCATTGCATACATCTTCAGCAGCCTTTCATCATTTTTTTATTCATTATCATCACCTTTATGGAGAAATATCTTTATAAATTATATATCCTGTTTCTCAAATAATAGCCTTTTATTTTCAGTATTATATAATTTTTTAATTTGAACTGAATTCATGGATTTTATTTTCTAATTATTAATTGAACATTTACCTCTGGTAATTATTCCTTGTCATCTAAGAGGAGAATGAAAAAATATACATATTAAAAGACCTAATTTATGATTAATTAAGGTAAAAAAATAAAATTGTGAGATGATACCAAAAAGTCATTGGAATATGTTTAAATCACAATAACATATCAATTGATACAAACACACTTCTCTAAAAATTGTTTAATAGTGACAGATTAATTGTTATTATTTCAACATTTTGAAAAAACTAATAATGAAATAAAGACTGATTTTCCCGAATTTAAATTAAGTGTATCCCTTCATAAACAATGTCCAAAACACAAATTATTTACAACAATTTTGACAATTGTGATTTTTTATACTACAAATATATTTTTTAATTTATTTTAGAAGGATACTTCGCACTACCCCACCTATACCAGATGACCTTTCACCACATGTTTCGGATTTCATCGCCAAACTTCTGGTTAAAGACCCCAGGAAGAGATTGGGTGGAGGAATGGAGGACGCTGAAGAACTAAAACGTCACCCTTTTTTCAATGTAATTATATACATTTTTTACTTTAATAAGTGAATAATCAGTTCAATTGTTCGATTTAATTAATTTAAGTTAATTTTAAAACATTGCTATCAAAGTCAAAAAATAAAAATCTTGCAAATTCTGAACTGCCATTTGCCTAAGTCATCATTAAATTTTCATGGTTATTATCAAAGATAAATTTTATTATATTTTGGTGTGGAAAAGAATTAGTATGTTACCACAGTCTTTACAAAATTTTTCATTCAGACCGAATTGAAAGTTTTTTATATATTCATATTTAAAATTTCATGATGAAAAAATTAAATAATTAAGAATCACCACTGACCTTATTCTTTTTGAATGACAGGATTTAGACTGGGAAGCACTCGCAAGGAAAGAGATTACTGCTCCTTTTGTCCCAAAAATCTCTGGAGAACTTGACGTAAGCAACTTCTCTGAAGAATTTACTAAAATGATTCCTACCGATTCTCCTGCCATCATCCCTCCAAACTTCGACAAGATATTTAAGGTAATTATCTGTAATATTAAATTTTCATTTCAATTTACATTATAAATTAAACAATAAATTTTATTTTGTATATATATATACGTGTTAATGATTTATAAATTTCATCTTGTAATTTAATTTTTGTTTCTATTTTCAAGGGTTACTCTTATGTTGCTCCTTCAGTTTTGTTCAGTGAAAATGTCATTAGTGATGAAATATTCAAGCCAAATCATGACAAAAGACCTACCATTGCCAACCTTATTGCTCAAACATTCAAGGTAAAATTTTTTATTCCTTCTATGTTAGTTCTGTTTAATTTTAATTTTATCACAGTAAATGAAATAAAGCATGTTATTATACAATAGTGTAAGCCAATAATGTTAAATTAATATAGAAAATGCATAAATTATAAAGATATGTAATTTCACAGGAATCTCAATTCTTTGAACATTATGACGTCGATCTGGAACGAAGTGGCGTATTAGGTGATGGATCTTTTTCCATTTGCCGAAGGTGTGTGGAAAAGTCTACAGGAAAAGCTTTTGCTGTAAAAATAATCAGTCGGAAAGTCGATTCAACCAGGGAAATAAATTTACTTAGAGCTTGTCAGGGACACCCTAACATAGTCAATTTACACCAGGTCTATTATGATGAGGTAATTTCTTTAAAAAATTATATTTCCATTTCCATGTTTTTCTTAAGGTGATGCTAAGTACACCACTAAAGAAGTATTGTTAAAAAAGGATTAATCTCTTTTAGGCTCATACCTATTTGGTGCTAGAACTTCTGGAAGGTGGCGAATTACTTCAGCGAATAAGAAGGAGGACTAGGTTTACAGAGAATGAAGCAAGCAGAATTATGAGGCAGCTTGTTTCTGCTGTGAATTTCATGCACCTTCATGGAGTTGTTCATAGGGATCTCAAACCAGAGGTAAAATTTGATTATTTTATTCATTTATTAAATATGAGAAGGAGTTAGTCGAGGGTGCGGTCAAATAAATAAAAAATTAAAATATATTAATTATTTTAATTTTTGCCGACGTTTCGACCCACTTTGCAGGTCGTCTTCTGGGCTACAAAAGATACAAAACATATTGAAAATAAAAAATAAATATAAGTATATATAAAATAAGAAGAAGTTGTCAGATACAGAAATAAAAGATGGTATCAGAGATATAGTGGGTGACAATGTAGTTAAATATTAAGAATTATATATGTAGAAGATACAAATAAATGGAAAATAAGTAGGAATAAAAATAAAAATAAATTTTTAATTTTTTTTTAATAAAGAAAATATATTTTTATTTTTATTTTTATTCCTACATATTTTCCATTTATTTGTATCTTCTACATATATAATTCTTAATATTTAACTACATTGTCACCCACTATATCTCTGATACCATCTTTTATTTCTGTAACTGACTTCTTCTTATTTTATATATACTTATATTTATTTTTTATTTTCAACATGTTTTGTATCTTTTGTAGCCCTGAAGATGACCTGCAAAGTGGGTCGAAACGTCGGCAAAAATTAAAATAATTAATATATTGTAATATATAATTTTTTTTTTTTTTTTTTTTTTTTTTTTTTTTTTTTTTTCTTTGACCGCACCCTCGACTGACTCCTTCTCATATTATATCAACGGTCAACCATCTCTACATCATTTATTAAATAATTTATTAAATGCTATTTGTTTATTTATTTTGTAATAATTGACTTTTCATTTTCAAAATTCATTTTGGTTAAAACATCAATTAAAACTGATGTTTATTCTGTTTTTTTATTAATTATAATGTTTTTTTGTTTTCCTGATAATGAAATTAAATTTTATCATTTTGTCTTACATTATTTATTTTCAAGTCTGACATATCAGCTCATTCAGTCATTTTAAAGGAAACACCTTATTGTAATTAAAATTATTTGGGCTAATTTGCCTTAAGTCTTCATATTTCATATAAAACTAAAATCTCTGTCATGGTTTTAATGTTTAAGCAGATATGTCTAGAAAAACAAACACATCAAATATCTATATCAGTCAGCTTCATATTAAAGCATTTCTTTAGCACTATAATTCGTAATTATTTTAAGTTCAATTTATTTTATGGCCTTTGATTAAGAATTTATTCAATATTTTTTCAGAATCTTCTGTTTACCGATGACACCTGTGAAGCAAACATCAAAGTTGTTGATTTTGGTTTTGCTCAGCTGAAACGTGAAGGAGATTCACTTCATACTCCATGTTATACTCTCCACTATGCTGCTCCAGAAGTCCTTCATAATGCTGCTCAAGGATATGATGAAAACTGTGATTTGTGGAGTCTCGGTGTTATTTTGGTAATTTTCATGTTTTGAATTATTTTAATAATAGGTAACTTGAAGAAAATTTAATGTAACCTAGATGTTGTGAAGTTACGTGCTTTTATCAATATTCATAAATGGTTATCCATATAGAACAGACTATCTTCAACAATTTCTGCTATCATTTGGAATAGATGACAAACAATGTGTTCTTTAAGTGTCTTCAAGCAAACTTTTAAATATAGAAAAGAAGAAAAGATATTTAAATTCATAACGGTATTAGAAATAGATAATATAAATTCTGCAAGAAAATTCTTAAAAAGAGCGATGTCGAAAAACTCCTTAGGATTAGCATTCATTATGGTTCATGAAATAATCTATTAAATGTTTATGGGTGGATATATAAAAATGGCTAACAGAATTGGTTGCTTTAAGGAAACCAGCTTTGTTTATTTACATTAATAATTTTTTTTATCTTGAAGATTAATATTTTAAAATTAGATTTATAATAATTTAGTTGTCAACTTATGTTAATTACTCTTAAAATAATTTATATTTATGTTATTTTTTTTTTGTTTTTTTTTATAGTATACAATGTTAAGTGGTCGAGCTCCCTTTTTGGCTAGATCTAGGGATGATAGCTCTGTTGCGATTATGAATAGGATAAAGGAAGGGGATTTTAGCTTCTGCGGCGGTGCTTGGGAATCAGTTTCGCACGAAGCCAAAGAACTGACAAAAGGTACGTTTTTTTTTGTTTTTTTTTAAGAGCTGACAAAAGTATTCTTATATCTTAAATTGATACAGTTTTTACTGATCTGTATACTATTAAATAAAGTGAACTAAATTATTATGAGTTATAAGACTTGCATTCATTAGTTTCTAAAATTATTCATGTTTTTTTCTTATAGGTTTGCTTACGGTTGAACCTTCCCAGAGATTAAGAATGTCTGGACTTCTCTCTCACCCTTGGTTACTAGGTTGTGATGTAGCTTCCACACCTCTTATGACTCCTGATGTACTGACAGCTTCTGCTGAATATGGAGTTGCTACTGCATTCAGTGCGTTTCATAAAGCCACTCGTGAAGGATTTAGATTACAGGTACTACTCATCAGTTTTATATAATTAATTTATAAATTTATGCAATTTTTAGTTTTTTATTGGATAATAAAATAATCAATAAATGGTAAAACATAATTTAAACTTTTGTAAGCGGGAATGTGTTATTCAATCAACCTTAAATTTTAGTAATAAATACTGCACAAAATATGATAACTATAAAAAAATTAGATTGTCGTTAAAATAACAAGAAATAGAAGCCATAATTATTAAAGTCGAAATTAATTATGTTGGAGGTAATGATAATATTGTTTTCTTACTAAAAATAAATTAATAGAGATAATTTCTATTTGACTACGAGTCATATCTGAGATTATGTATAAGTTTATCTTGAATTCTAAATAATCAGAAAATCTATCGAAATATTTTATTGTATTAAGTTGACATTTCGACTCAAGCTTGTCAGACATCATCAGAGCAAGTAAATTCTATGAGATTGACAGTAGTAAATCTTATTTGAATGATGAAAAGAAAGGTTTTGTTTCAATTTATTGTCTAAGATAAAAGATTCCTGAATATACAACTAAACAAAAAAAAAGTATATTAATTTTTTTTTTTTTTTTTTTTTGGTACTACAATATGCTTGCAATTTATATACTCATGAATAAATTGATCAAATATATAAAAAATAAATTTTCATTGATCTATGAAGTGTGTATTCTATTCACAAGCGCAGCATATATATTCATATCTAACCGAATTTCCTTTAATATATTTATCGCCTCCTAGAAAACCAGCCTTCCAAAATACAATACATGTTTGAAATGAGCATGTCATTAATTATGAAATACAATACAATTGCAAATGTCATAATTATAAATCTCAAATTTACACTAATAATTTTTTACTTGCTTCATGATCATTTTTTTGTAGAAAAAAAATTATTGTATTCTAACTTAATACCTTTTTTTGATCCTTCAGGATGTTGTGAATGCTCAACTTGCGCAAAGGAGAAGAATGAAAAAATCATCAGTTGACAATAGAAGCTTTTCAACTTCTAGTAGCTTCTCGAGTTCCAGTTCTTCTGGTGAGTGTCTAAAACAATATGTTTAAATTGAAATACCCCATTATTAATACTGAAACATCAATAAATTAAATACTTATTTGAGGATATTCATTAATATTCAAATTTAAAATGAGTACTTATAATATGGTTCATTCTGTTCAAATTCTAGTAAATGTCGTATATACTCCGATCTATCAGTTTTCAAGCTTTTTTTACTACTGCATACTTGTTTGGCTAAAAACATTTTGCATTACCCTTGTCAGAACAAAACTAATTTGTTTCATCCAGAATCTTTACTCATTTGTAGTGCAATATGTACCAGGTGTGTAAATATGACACCGTATTTTTGGTATATAAAAATCCATATTCTATTTATTGCATAAAAATGTCAGAATATATTTTATTTGTAATATTTTTCATCACTACCTTTACATTTTGCCCATCTCTCTGTCAATTTCTGCCCTGCAGGAAAAACTGTTGCTCTTTTGAGGCAAACCATTTTCATGAAGAAGTCATGAACCACTGCTCAGCAAGTGCATACCCCATTATTGCAAAAAAAATAGTAGTCTGTCTATAATTTCCTATTTTTCTTCTATCTGTCATTTTTAGTTTATCATATCCTTTACTAGTTTTGTTGTGTGTGATGGATCATTATCATAATGTAAAATCATTTTGTATTTTTTGATATTCTGGTAATTTTCCACAAATACTCAATCAATTATTGTCAATAGTGTTTAGTTAACATTTTTTCACCAGGTCTTAACACCTCAGATTAGATTTGACACGCATTCCATATTCTTCATTCCTCATTTCAAAATTGTCACTTTTGAATATTTTGAACCACTCAAAGCTTTGACAAACATTCGATACAATCCTAAAGTAGTAAATGGTAACAAAAGCTAATGCTGCCAGCAAATCATAATTTGCAGGCACAAAATTCAACATTTTTAACACTGTTAAAATGGTGCTGTTAAACTTGTATTGCTGCAAGTTGAAAATCTGTACCACTTGTAAAAAACAAAACAAAATGGAGCAAATAATGCAGTTTGGTGGAAACTACACTAACAATTAGAGCCATCTATGAGTGAATTTTGGTTTAATATTTACAAACCTCATAAAAACCTAATACAATTTGGCTCAGATATTATCTTAAATTTGATTGTTGTTAATAAAAATAAATTCATGAGTTTTTTGAATTTCTATTCACCAAATTCACAATTTTTGCCTATTAGACTTATTAAATATTAGATTATGTACTATTTTTATGACATTCACTGCATATAGTTTTGGCATCCAGTTTGAGAACACCTCCTTTATTCAAATATAGAATCTTATCCTTCTATCAATTTAACGTGTTTACAAACAATGTTCATTCTAACACTAGTTTGAAGCATTTTTTAGTAAACTACTGTCAACTAATAACATATTTTTGATCAAAACTCTTGTTATTTTTCTGACAAAATAAAGTACTTTTGCAGTTTATACTACTGTTTTAGAACTAATAAGATGTTCATTTCATAAATAATTTTGTGTGTTTGTTTGTTTTTTAGGTATATCATCAGTGCAAACACCCGTAAGGGTTAGCCACTCCAGTGCTACTCATCCGAAGCCAGCGCTGAGGGGTAAAGCTAATGATGAAGGGAATGTTTTTAATTTTGGAGAAGCCAGAGTTAAAGAATATTTGTCAAGCCTGTCAAGTAATTCTTCTGAATCCAACACCCCATTAACCTTCAACCTGTCACCTGTACCACTGCCAAAGAACAAGAGATCTGGTGACAAACAGGAAAACAAGACAACCACTACTGGCCCAATGACCAGGGCCAAAAGGAGAAGACAGCTTGAAGCTGCCAATGAACCTGCACCGCAACTTAAAAGAAAACATACCCACCACCATCATAGGAGTAAAAGACAAAAAAATGAACAAGCAACTACCTCAGCTTGACCCTAAATCATCCCCTATTCTAGTTATGAATGTAAATATTAGTTTAGAATTTTTTGAGCTATAGTCATTTAATGCGATAATTATAGATCGTTAGTGATATATAATTAATCGGGATTTTGTCTCCCTTTAAGTGTTATATAAATATATTTATCTAGAAATCTTCTGTTGTAAATTAAAATGTATTTTAATAGTTGAAATTACCATAACTTTCACTTTGGCCTTGAATTCTTTTGTAAAGATTAAATAGGCTTTTATAATAATTACTTTTATGTGTAATGGTACTAATTTTGCATTTTATAATTTTAGACTTTTTCTTTTAAACACTTGAATTTCAAAAGTGTATTTTATCTCTTTGATATAAGTCTGAAGCTAGATAAAAGTAATTTTGATGAGTTTTACTAGCCAGAGTTATGTTGAAAAATGTAAATTTTATTGCTTGTTTTATTCAGTTACACTCAGTCATATGTATGATTTCATTATTAGGCATATGTAAGAAAAAAAATGGCTGTGTCATGAAAAATGCTTTTAGTCTTTCCCTTGCAGTAAGAAGACCAGAGCTATGGTTTTGGCAGCTGTTGACCAAATTTTGTGTAGATTATATTTCCTGAAGAAATGAAGTCATTAATGAATCAACTCATAAATTTTAGGAACAAAAATTTAAAAACGATAAAATATGTTAGTTAATATTTTATGAAAGTGATGGTGTCCCTTTTTATGAAGTAGATTAAATTTCTGGTTAAAATTATATTTTTAAGCTGTGACACAAGTCTTCATTTTCATAATTTAAAGTAAATAATAGAGTATATTATCATGAGAGCACACTAAGGAAATTATTTTTAGTTTCTATGATTTTTCATGCACTTTATAAATTAATAGATCCCATAGTTTCAAAAATATATATTATCTTCACCAAGTGCCTTAAATTAATTTTTGTATTTCAGTCAATGAGAGAAACAAATCTTCATTATAATAGTAGTATATATTTAGGTAATTTTTGTTGTTAATATATTGTTGTTTTTCGTTTATTTTTTTCATTTATTTTTTATGGTTATATGTTATATAAATGTTTATCTTTAAATGTGAATGAGTACTTATTTAGGGTGTGCATTAATTTGCTGTAAGGCTGCAAAAATATTTGACTGAAGAGGCCTGTATAATTTGAATGATATATACTTGTATTTTTTATTTATACAATATTTATTTTTCTCCTGAACCTCCAAAGAGTGCCTCTAAGTCATGAAGATACGTAAGATTTATTACCTTATCATTGATAATACCTATATTATATTGTATGTTATTTCTTGTATATAGTTAATATTTAAATTGTGTAATTAATTGCTTGTAAATGTTGTCCCCTAGCATCTCAGGAAGTTTACGTAAACAACATTAAATATCAAGCGTTATAAGTTTCTGATAAGAATAAACTGTAAAAGTAATTACAATTTAATCAGAGTAATTTATTTTGTTTTTCCTTTTTTTAAAAGATGTCTGTAATAAATTAGATACCATGACAAGTATTAATAATGTATAGTAGTATGAATTCATACTTTCAAAAGACATAATGCTTTATGAGATCTTCCAAATAAATTCGAATATTTGAGGGTTAAAACAATTTACTTTTTGGAAGACTTAATTCTGAAACTTTATTATTACCCCATTAGAATTTATATTTAGTATACTTCAGTTCCTACATTGCTTAGTTGTCGATCTGTAAATGCCAATTGTCAATTCCCTGAGATATTAAATTAATGCATGGGGTTTTGTAAAGACGATTTTAGTTCAATTTGTTTTCCTTTTTTTTTGTACAAATCAGTTGTGTGATGATTTTTTTTAGTATCGGAGATGGTATAGCATTGTATATTCATAATTACTTATACATTTGTTAAAACTTTCATAAGCAAACTAGAATTATTCAGTGAATGATTGTTTGCTAAAGCATGCCTATGTTGCCTTATTAATTACATGTGATGGTTCATCAGTAGATTACTGAAAGATTTATTTTTATACCCAAGAAGTGAGTTGCTATTGTATAAAAAAATATAAAAAAATTAATAAACCTAACACATGAGTTATTTCAGTCATGAGACTTGGAAAAAAAAATGAAATGTTAAATATTGTAATTTTTGTGTATTATTTCATGTTTAATATATGTAGAAAAACACTAAAGATAATATATAAATGTTGGGAACTTTGAAGTGAATATATATATATATATCTATATAATTGTATTTAATCAGTCTGTTTCTATAATTTCCCTTTCCCTTCTAACAATCCCTATATTCCATGTATAAATTCTAAATTATGATGGTTAAAAAAGCTTTTATCTGATCCTAATGAGGAGCGCACTGGTCCGTCCTCTCATACAGTTTCTTTTCTATGTATGTGAGTGCTCCAGTGTGTTTTCCACCCTTTATCAAGAAGAAGGACCAATTCGTTCAGTCTCATTATTCAACTGTTTACAGTAAAGTCTTCCTTACCAGTCTAATATTTCTTAAAGGATTTAATTTATAGGTAAATACAAAATAATAAGTACAAACCAGAAAAAAAAAAAAAAAAATCCTTTTCCAACAGCTGTGTGTCATGCTTTCATGACATTAATTTTGGTGAATAAATAACTAAAGATTTTTTTTTATTTTAATATTTTTAATCTTACAAAAAAAAATAATAAAGTAGTTTATATTAAAAAACAACAGAAAGCAGAAAGTTTTTCGTTTATTATCCATTATACTGAGATGGGCAATTTGGCCGCCATATTGAATGGATTAAAAAAATTTGAATATACAATTCATTGATTTGGATTCAGGTAAGTTTGAGGTATGTTTTATAGGTTATGTTTGGCCCTAGGGAAAATTATGAATTGTTAAAATCAAAAACTTTTATATACCACTTTCTAATAAACAACACCCAAGGTTATCATCATCAATCATGAAATTAATCTATCTCGACCTTCTCATTATTGTTAGAATAGGTTTGGTTGTACCTCTAAAACAATTCCTTCATATGTCTGAGCAGAAACGACAAAATAGAGGGTAATCAGGAAAAAAGTAATATCTTTACTTCAGAAGAGGATGAATTCTTTGATTACCTAAGCCATTTTGTTTCTTCAGAATGAAAAATAATCAGGATGTGCTGTCAATTATCATATTATTAAGTTTGCCAACATTTTGAACCAAGTATTTGGGTCATCATCACACCTAAAAATAAAAAAAATGGTAACTATAAAAGTAAGTAAATAAGAGAAGAAAAAAAAAAAGTTGGTTAACCTAATAAACATGATAGTTGACTGCACATTCCGATTATTTTTTCACCCTCATAATTTTACAGTCAGCTATATATATATATAAATTCATAAATTTTGTTTCTTAATGTATTAATAATTCTTATTATTATATTGACTAGTAATAATGCTTTTAATGATAATTTAGCTGTATTTTTCATTTACTGAAAAATATATTTCAACAGAAAAAAAAAAAAAATGAGTCATCTAACAAAGGAATTGATTAAAGTAAAACTCATACCATAATTTGTCCTTATCAAAAATTAATTCATATGAAATAAAAATATATTATCAATCAATAATCTTTAAATCTTAATGTGATAACTCAATGTTGTATTGTTATATATTTAATTATTTATTTTATTACCTTACCGTCTGCATATTCTTCCTGTTATTATATCCTGTAAGAAGTTTAAATTAATTTTTCAGTGAACCACTGTCAAATTTTCGCCAATGTTTCATTATTTACTTTAACAGTATGCCCTTTAATTTCTCAGCATACTGTACTTAAAAACCAATTCACCTAAAACAGGCCATAATAATCGTTTATATTTATGAAAATAAATAAATAATTAATTAATTATATAATGGAGTGACTGTATGCCATATTGTATTTTCTTCAACCTTGAACTATAAAAATATCAGAAACAGGAAAGTCTGCTCTCAACTAATTAATATTGTATAGATATACCAATCATTAATACTATATTGAGACAAATGATTTATAACATTGGAATTCATACCTTTCAGACCATAATGAAATTAGAGGGAAGGATGGAAATGTTCCAAAGAAGTTCTTAATTCAATAAAAGAGGAACCCAGTGATGACTCAACAGTTAACAATCATGTTTTATCACTTTCTCAAAAGTTAAAAAAATATGTATATATATTTTTCAAAATTAACTAAGTACATGAAAAAGGTGTATAAAATTAGTTTTAATATTTCATAATAAAACAAAACAATGATAAATATCTTATCATTGTCTTAAAAAGAAACAAAATTATGATAATTTAAAATGCCATATACAATTATTTATTATATTTAAGCTTAAAATAATAAATTCTAGTTTTTAAAAATTGAAATTAACACTTTATTAGTACACTATTTGTTAATTTGATTACTTATTTAATTTTGTACAAATGTTTTAATTTATAAGATTAATATGTTAAGTATAATAATCAATCATAAAAATAATTATTAAATAAATTAATAAATCTAAAATTGCTAATGTTTCTTATAAAATTTAATAAACTTAAATTTAAGGTATTTAGACTTCTATGGTCAGCTTCTATATTTCCCCCCTTTTTTAGTGGAGTGGTGTAGTGTTGGTTTTTCTGTTTTTAAAAGTGTTTTTCATTAGTAATAACAGTGATCATGCCAGTGATATTTTAAAAAGGTACTATAATTGATTTTTAAAAATCCTATTTAAACATTTAGAAACACAACATTTTCAAATAGCTGTTATAAATTGTCTGGGATTCTGAAACATTTATATTTTTAATTTGATACACAAAAATAAATAATGGTTAAGTTGAGTGATTGACTAGTCGAACTATTTTATGAATCATTAATATTATGAAATAGAAGCATAATCATTTCTTAAGAATTTATTAGTTAAATGGTTGTCTATAAGATCACCAAAATTTGAACCAAACTCTCCTTTTGAAGTTTAATTTATCTTTTGAATGATGATCACGAAATATTTTTGCTTCATTTTAAGCA